CTCGAACCTAAGAGCGATGGCCTCCAACCTAAGAGCAATGGCCTCCAAGCTAGCTTTAAGTGACATTAGCCTACGCCTCAGCTGCAGGCGGTCTATACCAGCAAGGCAGCCGAGCGATTGCTGAGGGAGCTCGAAAACATGGACTCAGGTGAATTGCGGCGGACCGGCGAGTTCGGAACCTGGGAACCTGTGTAAAGGCTAAGTTTCACAGATTGATTTGATTTGTATACTTTTGTTACACTACTAAATGTAATTCTACATTGCACGATATTAACGATATTATATATATATATATAGAATATATGTATCATATGTTTAATGTTTCAGAAGGAACGCAAAGAAAACGGCAGGCAGAAGTCAGAAGAGTCAAAAGCTCGACTCACATTGTGACGTGATCCACAGCACTGTGACACATGATACCACTGGCACATTTAATGATTCCCCTTGATGGAGATGCAGGAGATCTTGAAAAAGCCAGTGACTTGCAGGCCTCGAGGGAAGCTTCTCAGGGTGCATGCACGAGATTCAATCACGGTGGTAGATAATGGACAGCAACAACTCTTCAGGATGATGTCGGCTCCTTTCTGCCGGTCCTGGGGTAGCAACCAGGGTTGTTTTCCCGAACCATCGTGTTTTGGATTCGAGTGGAGGGATTGGCAGTTTACCACCACCATCCACCACCATGTGTCCTAGGTTCAATCACGTTTACAGTCTTCTTTGCAGAGCTTAGGTGAGTGGCTTTAGTAATTAGACATTTCTATAAGAGACCATTCTATAGTCTCCATCAGTTTAGATGGTCTACACATGTAAACACTGTTGTGACCGCCGATTCCCTGCAGTTGGCAGCACTACATTTGCTTCGCCGTCTTCGACGCGATGGAGGGCGGCACGCACGGGATGCCTGTCAAGGCTGCCTTGAACCAGTAGCGACTATGGTGAGTCTGGTATAGTTTGCGGACAACGAAGGGCGCTAAGGGCTTTGGGCTCTAAGGGCTTGGTAATTAATAAGATGTTATAACTTTTGATCAAGTATTGATAGATCTAAGTCTTTGCTGACTTCTCGGCCATCTAAAGCAAGAACCAGCCTTCAGCCCTTCCCATGATTACAGTTCCTGAGAGATGTGCTGCTGTAGAATTGTCAATCCTTGTTTCTCTTTTCTGAAGGAGTCGTGTTGAGTTCCAACCATGCGAGGATACCAGCTGCAATTCCGTGCGGCCGCATGCCATGCCAAAGAGACGCTGTGCTGGGATTATGATTAGCAGATCTCGGATTTCGGCCAAGGCCAATGGGCTACACCTGAGTACAAAATGTAGCTCGCGTACGGATGATACAACAATTTTGAACACCACAAGCAGCAAAATGCACAACAGATCCTCGAAGGAACTTACATTCTTTGGGACATAGGCACCCTCAGAAGTTGTGGGACCAATAAGGACGTGCATGAACATCCGAAGAGGATGCCTGACCACAAAGATGTGAGAGGTGAGAGGTGAGGAATGCCCTTTGCTCCGTTCGTAGCGTCCTTGCTCCTAGTAGTACGGCCAGGAGCGCCCCTAGTAGCGTCCTTGCTCCTAGTAGCGATGCCCTTTGCTAGGAATGGCCTCCAACCTAATACAAATCACCTCCATGACTAGTCACAAGTGACACTGCTTTTGCTCATTGAAACGCTTCTATACTTGGGTAAGCGATACTAGCCTTCACGCTAGTCTTGCACTAACCTTGCACGTGTGAATACAGCTTCCCACCTGTTATATTTCAATACTTTGCCCCAGCGGACAATGTGTCTATAAATATATATATATACAGCAAATATGAATATATATATATATACAAGGTGACCCGGAAGCATTGGAGATCTGGGCATGCTTACAGTTTTACTTCTGCAAGCGGTTTCATGTCCTAGTGACTAGTGGCTTTGAACTGATCAGGCGAAGGTTTGAGACAGTGGCTTTGACCCATGAAATTCATGAGGAAAGGCGTAGCAGCTGGCCTCCAGCTGGCCTCCATGCTGATCCACCTCTCGCTGCCACACATCATCCCAGGCTGGGCCTTCAGTGGCGGAATACAGAGTTGGGAAGAGTGCAACTGCTTCCAGGTGTTTGATGCAACACTGAAGAAAGTACAGTAGTAAATACATAAGTCGAAGTCATTACAGTATCTTTCTCTCAATGAATGAGCCTTGAAGGACCAGAGGCGATGAGAGCTGCAACACCCCATGAGTTGCCCCCGTGTGCACAAGGGGGGTATGCTGCAATGAGGGGGCCCTTGACCAAGTCTTGCTTAAAGCTGATGACCATTGTTGTGGCTATCACAACCTCACCTTCCACAGCTGCAGGGATATGCAGGGATGTAGGTTCATGCACCGCGTTGCCGGCGTTGCCATGTGTTTTTTTGTTATAGAATGTAAGTCCTTATTGGTTTATTTTAGAATACTTTTGGATCTTTCATGTCGATCGCTATATAGTTGCTTTTTTGCTAGTTGCTGGCACCAACGTGTTCACTTCAGTGGATTGCTTTGGTCTTTGACATGAAAACCGGAGAGTCTTGTCCGGCCATCGGAGCCCCAAAATGAGTGCGTTTGCGCTCCTAAGGAAGCCGAGCCGCGACTCAGCTGGGCAAAGGCTTAGCCTTGGCGCTGAAGGGATACCTGGAAGCTGACCTGGTAGGTGGAGCGACGACCTGAGAGCGTGAGCAAGGAAGGGAGAGGAAAGAACGACCCCAAGGATCCCCAAGGGATGTTTCATGATATACCCAATATGTGTGCAGCTGTAATGAGATGATAGTTTGGGTTGTCGTCAGAAATTGCCTCGACATGTCTTGGCCATTCTTGCTGATACTATATGAAGCTATGCTTGGAGCGGGAGAAACTACCGTACAGAAAAGAGATGCTCTGAATAACGGAAGCAAATCCACCAGACGTTTCTTGAAGGGTTCGGAACTGTTAAAGGAACCATGTGTAGAATTTATATTCACATGCATGGCTACTTCATGCTCATTTTATGGTGTTTTTGTGCTTTGACAGGGTTCCAGGTTTGGAGATGGGTCCTGGGGCTGCCATCAATTACTAAGTTCCCAATAATTGCCGTTGCAGCAGCTGTTCCAAGTCCAACAGTTTTCTACATGCCGATGCATTTCGTACACATGCCCTTGGGCTTGTTGCATGCATGCATCGAATCTGATTGAATTTGCATCAGGCAGAGGAAGGTCCTGTGTCCGTGAATCCAAGCAGCAACCGCTTCGCGCAAATGTGCTTGACCGAGGATCTTGAGGTGTTGGTGCCATGGCTGCGTGACCCTTGCTGCCCGTTGCCAGGAGCGACAAGAACTTTCCAGTTTCAGTGATTGTCATGAGTCATGAGCATCATGATTCTATTCATCATGCATGAGTGACGTGTTTTGTGGTTATCTATTTTTGCCAACCCAACGAATGCATTGAAGCCAGACCTTACGACAGGTTCGACCGCCCAGAAACTGGCCACCGGACTCGCCTCCGACTATGGACTGTTAGGCGTCCTGCTTGGTGTCCAAGACGCTACGGCAGAGTAGCTGCTGAAGCAAAGTTTGAACATTCTTCATTCACGAGTGTGTCACAGAACTGACTAGCGTTTGTTGAAAGTCAGATATGATACAATCATCACATAATGCTAGATTTGGCAGATATATTCTTGCAGGTCAAAGCATAACGGCGCACCCTCAGAAGAGGTTGGGATTTGGAGAGATAACAGGTAACACTTTAGTTGAACTTCAATTTGAGAGCTTCTCACTCACTGTGCAGTACCGTGTCCTTTTGGCCTACACTTGAAAGATTCTGCAAGTAAAACCGTTGCTCACTCAGGATCAATATATTATACTTGATCCAGTAGACGTTGAGTTGTTGCTGTTTGTTTTGCGCATCAAACAATGTTGAGGGCATTTTCTTGGTGGAGGCCACGGCCTTGGCGGCTGAAGGCAGCCCAGGGCGTTTGGCCTTTGGTCACGGCCTTGCAGGGCTTAACTAGCGGCCTGCGACACAGCAAGAGCTGGCGAGCCACTTGAGCCAAGTTTGGCGACGGCTGAACTGTGGGTTTGGAGGCTACTACTGTCTCTTAAGTTTGTTCCTTCAAATCATGCTTGCGCCTTTTGCTTGGTGTCAGGTCAACTTGTCAGGCGGGAGGATGCCTTTCGAGATGTATTACATTGTCGTGGATGACACACATAGACATATACACAGTCACACCAGAGGACTAGTAGCCAAGGGCATCGCTACTAGTACCCAAGCCTTCTCGATGGCCACTTTGAAGTTCTTGCGAAGATGCACCAAGGACAAAATGCAACAGACGGCACGCCGGCGCCTTCGGCGGCGGAAGGATACCGCAGCTTCCGCACCAAACGTGTCTGCGGATGGATGGTTGACACCCTTGGAGAAGAAAATTGGCACCAGCCCGGTCGCCCGGTGTTATTGGCTTTGAGGCTTTTAAGACCTTTGGTGCATGTGTAGCTAGTGTTGGATCGACGACAGAACGCACACCAATGTAATAAGATTCCACGCTCAATGCTTTTCAAATTGGCCCACGGGCCCAGCACCACTTAAGCCATCAGTCAACTGGCATTTTGACAAGCCATGACAAGCTCATGCAACTGGAAACCATGCCAAGGCATTGCACTCTGACATACTGTAACTTAAGGTGCCGATGCTCCTCCAACTCCAGCGCCTGTTGTGGCCTGACTAGACGTAGCTGCCGGTTGTGCTGTCGAGCCAAGAGTTGAACAAATTGTGCGTCGACCTTGCTTGTTTCACGTATTGGTATCAATCTCAAGACTTGAAAGGTGTAGCGGGGCATCACCATCCCTGAATGGACCTCTAGGATTCTATGGATTCTAGGTCATTTATATAGAAGTAGTTGTCCGCATCACTGCATAAGATCATTGAGATACTGTATAATGTAGTCCCTTGATTTATAAACCCCCCCCCCCTCAACAACCAAGGCCTCCAAAATAATGTATATGAAAATCAATCAGTTGATAATTAAAAAAGGAATCCTTAGCTAGCTACCTCTGGAGCTACTCTCGCAATATTAAATTAAAAGGAAATAAGAATTCCTAACTTTGAAGACCTCTGGCAATATTAAATTAAAAGGAAATAAAAATTCCTAAGTTTGAAGACCTCTGGCAATATTAAATTAAAAGGACATCTCAAATTTCTTAATAGAAACCTCCATCCAAAAGCCTCCAAAAGCATCAAATCTCAATGGAAATCTCAACTTTTCTAATAGAAATCTCCATCCAAAAGCCTCCAAAAGCATCAAATCTCAATGGAAATCTACAAAGTTTTAATAGAAATCTCCATCCAAAAGCCTCCTAAAGCATCAAACCTCAATGGAAATCTACAACTAAAGAGCTTAGGAAAAGTAAATAAGGAATAGAGGGTGAGTA